GGTCGCGCAGATTATTAAGGGTTACCTTATCCGCTGCATACAGCAGGGCGGATAAGCGAAACCATGCTACTGCTGGCACCTCCCTTGTCTCTTTTCCACCCTTTTCTTTTACTGCCATCCCGACCCCCATTACTAACCTTCCTTCTATAATTCCCAGCTTAATTGAAAGCAACTGAAGTGTTACTGAAGTAGTACCATCTGCAGCCACCATCCCACAGCACCTATCGGAAGCCTATTGGCAAGTCTCTTAAAAGGCCACGCTTTCCCGTTTCTATGGCGACATCCAATGTCTGCATTCTAAGACAAGTAGGTCAACAGGCTGCACTCGCACGCACCTTGGAAACACTGGGTATCGGTGTGTTGTGTGTCCGAAACTAGGATCAATGCTCTTAGCGTGGTTGTTTAATTAACCGCACCCGGCTTTTGCTCTCGTTATTGTTTCCACGCATCCGGTGACGCCGAAGCAACACTCACGGGTCAAGCTGGTGTTGGTGTCATTCTCAGCTCCAAGGCTGAGCCAACATTGGTTAATTTGATTCCAATGAACAGCCGTTTATGTGCAGCCCGTTTGACAACATCAGCTAAGGTGGATTCACGAAGTAATACGAAAAGCTGTTTGTTTGTGATTTCTGTTTATGCTCCCACCGCCTGCAGTTCTACCGCAGTTATGGACACTTTCTATCACCAACTGAACGCGCTACTACGCAGTGATACTAGTTCAGATATTACCTTACTTGCAGGGGATATGAACGCACAAGTAGGGCTTTTGAGCACTTCAGAAGCTCAGCTGGGTGAGAATAGTTGGCATAACTCCGACCGACTGAAAACGGTGAGTGTTTGCTGCAACTGTGTGCGGAGCACCAGTTGTTTCTTACTAGCACTGCTTTTAGACACAGTGGGCGCCGAAGTGCCATATGGCGTCCACCTGTAGCTGGCCAGCGATGGACCCAAATTGACCACATAGCCATAAGTTACAAATGGCGCGGTTCCATTCTGGATTGCCGCTCGTACTGGAGTACCTGTGTCGACTCTGATCATGCCTTGGTGCGCTGTCGTTTCTCCATGAACCTTAACGGAAGGCGCACCAAGTGTTGACTCCGATTGACAAATGAGAAATTGTCTCAGCCATCAGTCAGGCAAACCTATCAAGGTGCACTGAGTACCGAACTCTCGCTGGCTTGACCTAATGTCACTGAGCATCAACAAAATAGGATTTCGACCGCCAAGCATGACGCAGGTGCATCTGCTTGTGGCACTATGCGTCGTCACCGCACTAGTCACTGGATATCATAGAGGTGGGTGAACCTGTTGGTATCTAGAAAGAACCTTCCGGGCTGGTTCTGAACACAATATGACCAGACGGGCTATTAGGCGCCAACTAAAGCGGAGCCTGCGGGCTGAAAAGGTAGCGCGGTGGACCAGTTGGGATTAGGAATGGAGGAGGCAGGAGCAGTTTGCAATTACCGTAAGCACTTTTAGCTAATGCGCACCACTGGTCGCAGAAAACCAGGCGTCAGAGACAATCAGAGACAGCGCGCGTGCGCTGATACACAAGATGCAGCGCCGTATGGCTCGTTGGGCGGAACATTTTTAAGATCAGTTCAGCAGGTCACCTGCTCCGGAACCTCTAGCTAAAAAAGTAATGCAGGACGAGCGGTGAATGTTTAGTTTAGGGCCACCGTTGGAGGCCGAGGTCCGAAACGTGATCAAAGACCTCAATCGTTTTCGTGCCGCTGGCCCGGATTCCCTCCCACCTGCACTATTTAAGGATAGAGGTGAGGTCCTCTGCCAAGCACTGACCTCGTTAGTAAAAACATTATTCACTCGGGCCAGCCGTATCTGCTCCAACGACTGCCTGTCTGAGGAGTTTGAGCTGATCACTATAACACTTATGGAGAAAGGCTACCCAAAGCGATTCATAGACAAACTAAGCCAAGTTAGACCGCCCAAGGGGATGGTGTTGACGGCCCCTAAGAAGAAGGTTTCCATTGAGCTATCATTCAAGGGTGACACCGCAGAGAGAAGGATAACCAAACGCATATTCTCGGCCACTCAGCATACCTACTGTGCTGCGGAGGCGGTAATAATCAACCGAACCCGAAAGATGACGTTACCTTCAGTAAAGGAAGATGAACCCGTTGGCTCCAAATCACATTGTGTCTAGCAATTCGTGTGTGACTGCGGTATCAGTTATAACGGCAGGACCGAACGGGTTTTAGATTCCAGAGTGAAGGAACACTTACCCAACTGGGTTCAGCGCAAAGTTACTGAATCCACCTCCGATGATACGTGCTCACGTAAGCCGCCAGTGTCCTCCGTAGGCAGGCATATATTGGCCACTCTTCACCGGGTTTATCCCTTATCAGCGTTCCGGATCTTGTCACGTCATACCAATGCACGCCTTTTACGATTTGCCGAGGCCGTTGCGATAAGCCGAATTAGACCAGATTTGTGTGTCCAAAAGCAATAACTTGCCAACTTGCGGTTGCCGTGGACCTAATCCCGTCAACAATGACCACAACCATTTATTTGATTGGCTTGACCGTGCCCTGTAAGACATATGTAAAAAGGATTGCCCTGTTATTGAATTGGTACTGATGAGATAATACGAAATGCTAGCATCTGCCAATATTCGTCTTCTTATTTCTTTGTTCGAACTACTGAATGGGACTAACTGCTTTAAATTTCGTCAGGCTTGTCCGACTTAACCTAGCTTGTTCAATTTCGTCGTGGATTATATCATGGAGTTTTCCCTTGCGGAATCCACCGATGTAGGAGTTGAAATGCTTACTGGTAAAAGTTTAGTTGACCTAAATTATGCGGACGATATCGTCTTGCTTTATGACGGCTTTGCGGAGGCACAGACATACCTGAATATCCTGTCCAGAGTGGCCTTCTATTTAGTATGCACTCCGCGCCTTCAAAATGCAAAGTGCCGCTGCAGGACCACCAGCCACTTAATGACCACCTGACGCTTGCTACTGAAGAACTTGAGGTTGTTGATCAATTCACTTATCTTGGCGGCTGCATCAGCAATGATGTGCGCATAGAAACTGACGTGAGCTCACGCATTGCAAAGGCCAGAGCTACCTTCTTGAAGCTGCGGCATGTTTGGCGACAGAAGGGAGTGTCCCTCCGTCTGAAAGGCCGTGTATACAAGGCCACAGTAGGGCCGCTCTGCTCCATTGTAGTAATACTTGGCTCATTCGGCCTGAAGATGTGAGGCGCCTTCAAGTCTTTGACCATCGTTGTCTGCGAAGCATCGCCGGTGTTGGTTGACACCAGCGTTTCCACAACGATGAGGTGTGTATACGAGTACTAGGTAAAGATACTAAAGCTAGCGTCCCAGAACAACAGAAAGCACTGAATAGTTTGCCTTGGCTTTGACACGCGCTACGTATGCTTGGTCACCGCTAACCTAGGAGGGCCTTGTTCAGTCTACCGGGTGTAGGATGACGCAAGGTTCGAGGTGGTCAGAAGTTGACTTGGCAGCGGGAAATGGAGTACCCGACGACCAAAGTGGGTTCCGTTGGTCCTTCTCGCCTTCCGGGCTGGAGTCCGCGTGACTCACCTTGTGCTTGGCTCGAGACTTTACACTACATGGCTCGCAACGGACACCAGTGGCGCCTCTGTTGCCGCCCACTAACCGGCTTGCCTGTTTAAAGTGTGTTTGTGACTGAGGTATCTGCAGGATAATGGCTGATTATGACACAGGGAAGTGAATGCCTCAAAGAAGCTGTCTCGCCGATGCCGCTTTATCTTTGCACGATAGCCAGCTGTTTGTGAGGTTATGCTGTCTACACAAGGCATAGCCGACTTGACCCTGAATGTTTGCTTAGGACCTTAAGGTTTTCTGGTAAGACCCATTCTCTCCCTCTTATTATCCTTTATTTCATAGGTCCTCGTGGTTTTAAGGCAGCCAACCGTCGGTTTAAGTGGTTGATGTACTGCTGTTGATGATGATGATGTGTTAGTCACAAAATTAACTTTAACCCTGATTAATTAAAGCTTCTTTAAAACAAATCCATTGGCTTAAACGTTTTATGTACTTGTTGATTGCTTTAATCAATCTTCCTCCGAGTTTCTTTAGAAGGTGCCTGGCGCAAAATATTTAAGCTTCTTCACTAGGCAAAGATCAGATTGTGAGCAAAAAATTCCCTGGGCGTTTTTTTACCTTTCTAAAGCTGATAAGAGCATTTGTGTTAAGGAGTTGTAGACAATTAACCTGTAAAGGTAACAATAGCTAGACTAACTAACAGCTGTAATAATCCTTTTTCCGGCTGGCAACGTTCTGTCTTCAATTGTCTTAGGTACGATACATGATATTCGGTTGATTAAGCTTACATGCCAATCGTGGTATACATTTATTATCTTCTGAGTTCTATAGGTTGATTTATGTGAACGATGATGTAAGTTCAATATGGGATTATTATAATGAATACTACCGGTAATTGGTTAGGGAATAACGGAAGCAAACCCCGAGCTTAAGCTAAAAAGCGAGGAAAATATATGGCTGGTATTCAAATAGACACAAGTTACGCTTTCCCTGGAGGCGTGAGTAAAACGACTCTATGTGCTTTGGTGTGCTACGGAAGGGCTGAGCGCCAGCCGCAATAATTCTAACTGGTTAAGGTTAAGTGATCATTTAACCTACAACGTCATAACTTTGCATTGTTGTTGCCTGGCGAGCTTTACTAACTATTTTAAAGCAATGTACTTGCACGAAAGAGATATGCTACCCTGAATAAGTGCTAATATGCCTGACACTTGTATTATTCTTGTCTACAGTTAATCTACAATTTACCTAACTAAATGTCGGACGTACTAAGTGCATTGCACTAATAATTCTACAAACGAAGGCGCGGGAAACGCTTGCTAAAATACAGACACTTCAGATAGACACAGGTGGTTCCTACCACTGGCTATCTGTGTGGTCTGTTTTATGATTGGTTATCATTTGCTCTGTTTCATACGGCAACGTATATAAACATAATGCTACTATGTACGACGTTTGTAACAAAGAGTCTTGGCAGCATCGCGGCATCGACACAATGGTGTTAAAAGCCTACATCTTTTGCCTGATAACCTGCTTACTTGATGTCAGCTGCGGTAGGTTTATAAATATTTTTGAAGAAATCTCATGCAATCATTCATAATCTCGTTATGTAAATAATTAGGTTAGGTGTTACGCGTCAAGTATTTTAGATGGTCTACGGAAAAAGTGCGTGTTTAAGTGTTTTGCTTAACTAGAAACATGTTTTCACCGGCGCGAACTATTGTATTGAATGTGTTTTACCACAAAACCGTAATAACGATTGCCCCTAGCTTATTTCCGTGCCTAGTACAGGTCAATTGCCAAGTTGGCTCTCTAATATATTCATTCCAGTTTAGTAATTAAAAGCAGCGGTTCGTAGTCAAAGGACAAACCAGTTCCATGACACATTTAGCGTTCTGTCGCAAATACAGAAAACACAGCCTATAATTAGGTAACGCACCCGTTTACCAATATTAATTTGAATTGCTTCTTGCTTTGCGCAACAACGGTGCGCTAAATCTGTAGTACCTGTAAGCTTACCTAATCAGCTCTATCAGGATTACAACTATTTTCGGCAGTGTACCTTCAACACAGTCAAACGTACATTTATACATTAATTACAAACGGCGCTTTTTATCAACAAATATCGTCGTTAAATATTATAATATACATTAACATAAATGCACATTTATATATCACGGAGGCGTGCTCCTTTTATTTCTTGGTTTTTGATAAACTTTCTACGCCTCAAGATCTTTTGTCAGTTACGGTTTCAAGAGCAAGGCTGCAAGGAAATAACAATGTGACTGCCGAAGAAAATATGGAATTATCCTGCCAAAATCAAGTTAGTATTTCTATAATTATGAAAATTCGCCACTCGCTTCTGTTGTACAATGATTTAAATGTGCTTGTAAATTTAGCAGCATTGGTATTCAATTTCGGATTACGATCGCTTGACTTATGTAAGCTGTAAAACGTAATATACCTATTGTGCAAATGCTTACTCTATCGCAGTATCTGTTTACTATATAACATAGGAAATGCGAAGAGGGTTTATGTGTTCTCTCGACTGGGCACTATCGTTGCAGTGGTTTCATTGCCTAGCTCAGCAACATCAGGAGTGCGGTTATTATGGTCTCATCCGCAGATACTCGTAAGCCAATGCCAGATCCAAGTGATTTTTGATCGTCTCCTGGTAATGGCAGTGGCTTACAAAGTTCTGAGTATGAGTATTTAACAACCGCTTTGAGGAAACTGCTTAGTTTGGCAATGAAAAGGCTGCGACAACGTTGCCTGGGCCGGTGAACCCATCAACCGCTCATCGACACCTCAAATACAGGTATCCGCAAAAAATAGAAAAATGTAATTTGCTTATTGTAACCTTGCATCCTTTAGCGTTTACGTTTGGATTATACTTCGTATGGACCTTGCCGCCTACACAAGTGGCATTACGATTCGAGAGAAGAGGAGTTAACCTGCGTGTGTTTACTCGAAAATTCCACACAAGTAAATGGACAACTATTACAGAAGGGTGAATCAAGAACAATTCCTTCGATTTCCCAAAACAATTTCAAAGAACGTGAGTTTAAAATATATATAAATGTGTTGTCTTATCTGTTCTACATTTCGCACTTCAAGGCCAGACAAAATAAAAAGCAGGGCAGACCTTTGATTTAAATGTTTAATTGTTTTATAGAATAGAAATGTTACGAAGCAACTTTATGTAAAATGCAGCAAGAACACCTAATCTATTCACGCTAAAATGTGCGTACACTTGTCGTCCACAAAAACCTTTTAATTTGTAATTGGTACTTGTAGTGGGTTGCGTCAAGCAAGGGCAGTTTGGTGAGTGCAAACGCTTCCTATTTTATTGTCTCTAGTACAACGGGTTTTTTGTAAATGCGGAATATTTTGACATAAACACACTGTCTACCTGCTACTTGCTTAATGACCGTAGCGATAGGAACTGCTTCAGTAGTACCTGTACAACATTTAGGTGAACAGGTACTGAGTGTGATTGGAGATACGTTTTCAAGACAAATCAAAGCTGCTTGTCCATTTGGTTGTTAGGGTACTTTAGCCAAGGTGCCTGCACCACATCCAATAGATTTATAAAACCTGCTTATTACTTATATATTTATGTTAATGACATAGATATTTTTAACCGCACTTTTATTTACTCTTCAGGGTATTCGCATATGTTTACTTGGCGTGTGGATGAGATACATGGTCAATATACTAGGCCAAATTCTTGACAGTAGTGGAAAGAGCAAATAGTTCCGAATGTATCCAGCAACCAGATGACCATAAGTGCACTTAATTCACGCATGGCAATCTACACCGAAGCAAAGTTGCTAGGATCTCCAATTGGTTTGCCGACGAATGAGCCATTTTAGATGTTTTGTTTCCAGTAAGTAGTGTTGCTGTCAACAGAAACGTTGCTTGCCAAACCATGTGTCAACAAAGCGTACAAGTTTGCTGGTAGATTTAAGTCTCGGTTTGACCAGGATCAAAAAGTAAACTCAATGCGTTTGTTTGTCGAGAATAAAGAAGCTGATCTACACTTACAACGGTCAACACGCAAACGCATGTACTAACAAAGTCGGTTTTTGTGTCCACTCATATTCGCTTTAAATTTGCAGAGTTTGAAATAAAAATTTTCAATGAATCGCATCCAGAGAAAACTGTGAACAGTCTTGTGAGTGCAGCTTTGCAAAACTTGTAAGAGTATCTTGCATCCGTAAATCAAATTACTATAGAGCCGTGTCACTTTCGTGGACCGCTTTTTAAACAACGGTTAACACTACATAATGCTTTTGCTTTTTAAACTGTTTGAATTTTTGCCCGTGGTTATACAATGTTGTAATGTAGGAAAGGTTTATTTTCGCTGCTTTTATTTACTATATCGCGTTGCTCTAGGTATGTATTCAGTACCTTGTGTGTTTCATAAATTAGTTTCCCTTACGGTATGCCGATTCTCTAATATGGACCTACTGCTATCTTACTACCTGTTATCCGACTTGGGATATAGTTTTTCAGTGTCGCCAACGAAACGGGGGTCAAGGTGGTCACAAGTTGTATGACAATGCCACGCGAGGCTAATGTACATACTTGCGTCACAAGTTATCAGAACGAGCAAAAGGTCACTTGGGAATTTCCTGAAAACTGGAGTGGTCCAGCGCGGTTTCTCAAAAAGATCGATTACGATTCAGAAGCAATAAATCTACAAATAGTTGGAATGTATTGGCCAAAGCAGTTATGTAAGTGCGTGCTTTTACCTAAGCTACTTTAATTCATCTTAAATGAAACAATAAAAATTTATTATTTGTTACTACTGTTTATGCACAATGGTTGCAATTAGGAAAATAATACCGTTTCTCTGATATTTAACATGGTAGCGGATTTACGTTCGAAGTCTTATGATATCAGCTGAGTTTAAAACCCTGTAGTTCGTGTGATGTTTTCGGGTGGGCAACACAGGTTCTATCTGATTTACATCCCCAGTCTTACCAGCAAGGGTTCAGTACAGTATGACTAGCGACAACATGGATGTTCGGCGTCACGAAGCATTCACACAGTGAGTGCTTCAGAGTAACCCTACCTTTAACCGGGCTTTAACGTATGATCCCTAGCCACTCAAATGTCTAAACAACTGATAAAAGCTGAACCTTCACTATATCTGCATGCTTCAATTTATTACAACAAATAGGTATGAATGTAAATTTAACCCCTTTTAAAAAATAGTAAATGATTGGCAATTAAATTTACATGCGACATAATTCCTCTAGCAGCAATTAACAACCAAGTGCTATGTGAGTTGCAATTTTCCTGTTGTCCGGTTCACAAATTGTGTTTTTAGTCAGCCTATGCGCAAATTTCCGTTGTTTTACCTAGCTTGTTTGGTTGCGTATATTAACTGAAATCTAAATATTTCAACTAATTTGCCTTGAGTAAATGCTTAAAATTACTATCAGTTGTTCATTCAACTAAGTATTTATTACTTAATTTTACGAAAGATTATTCCGCATGGTATTTGACCATTTATGTTTGCTTTGAAGATGTGGACATAATCGTGCTAGTGAAGCAAAAATACGACAATATCTGCGAGGAGATTTTTAAAAATGTACGTCCACGTTTGATTGCATAAACTAACAAACACATATAGTTATTAGTTTGGGATAGCTTTTGGCGAATGTATATAATGGACTTATTCACTGTAAAATAGTTTACACTAAGCTGTATATTTTATGGGTTGGGTGAAATTAATGTGCCTACTGTTAGTATAGAATATCTTTATGAAGCCAAAATTATTGGCTGATGTTCGGCGCGGATTTGTAATATGTTTGCAGATACTTATCAAGTAGTTGAGTACAGGTATATATAATTGTTGGATGCATATGCTGTTGCATAACTAGCGTTGACTTTTGCACCTACTGATAAAATGACGTAACTGATCGTAACTGTTCCGAAATCTATGATGCCATCACTTACCCTTTAGTTAACACTGTATGGAGCTAAAGCGCTTTGTTTAATCGTGTCATCAGGCTTTCCTCATAGACGAGGTAAACGGTTTTTAAGATACCTTAACAAGCAATTGTGTCGACCCATTTGAATTTAAGAGTGAACGGATGCACTTTACCTTTAGTGACAGCTCGCTGGCCACGTTGCTTAAAGTGCAAAAGACCAATTACGTGTAAATCGTGTATAGCGAACGGATGCCTATGTCTAACATATTGTTTATTTATATAGGCTGGGCTTTAAGTATAGAATTCCAACGACAGTAAAAACGGCGAAATGTTTTTACATAAGAGAAACCTATGGCTAATGCTTACGAAACGGTGCAGCTCCTAATCAATTATTAGGCAAGGTGGAAAGTAGTTCTCGGTTGCGATTTGCTTAGGAATATCTCAACTACTGCTAAACAAAATCCTTATACTTTGTGTTAATAGTTCAAATGTAAGTATATACAGTGTGTCAGCAGATGATCAATAGATTAGAGAATGGTTGATGGACACTGCTTATGTTAACGCAATAATCAACACACAGTTTGGATGGAGGGTATTTGCGATTGTTTCATGCGCACTTGGTCGGTAGTTTGCCTTAGTCAAAAAAGGAAGAATAAACTAATTACATGGGGGTAGTTCGTCGCTATCTAAGCAAACAGCTTGTAGTTCAAGCAACGACACACACTAATCAAACATTAGACTTTGCTCCCAGCGTAGCCTGTTTTGAACCAATGACTTTGTGTTAGCGTCAACGACTAAGTTCGTAATGGTCTAACATGATGCCTCTCATCAATATCTGATAGAAGAAGATAGTTCGAAAAGCGCCATTGGGTGCAGTGCCTTTTGGCTGCCAACACCTAATTACCTTCTGTAAAAAAGCGACGGTCCTACCACTCAAATGACCAAAGTTCACGTCATTGGTAATGGCGGTCAACTGTGAGATTGTGACACGAAATTCACATACATAAAGTCCATTTCAAATAGTGACAATCTGCTCAGCCATTAACCGTTGTCCAAGAGTTGCCCTTCGTGACTTAGTGACTTAAGTGCAGCGGTAATGACCAATACCCCATAGGTCACTGGATAAAGGCCTGCTATCTTTGTCTGCTCAAACGAGACAACAACCAGCCGCGCCCTTAAGTAGAATATGTTCTATTGGACAACACCCAATTTCTACCCTCAGGTTATACCATGTTTCTGTGCAAAGCAAAATTAACTGATTGTACTCAGAATATTCCTTGCTTTGTACATTAATCTACGCAGACCGTCGACGAACCCTTGAAAGTAAGTGATTTGCTTGGGAATTCTATGAACAATTTGACCAAAATCTTGTTCCAGTAAGAATAAATGGTTAACTCCTAACTGTGCGTAGGCTAATTTGTCAAAATCGTATACTTGTGTATCCGGATAAAAATACTTTCATTAACCTGAAAGATAAGAATCGATTGACCTTATTGATATGTCAATTTATTGCAGCCCAAAACAACCTGCCGTCTGGAATTCTACGACGACTCCGTTCTAAATCCACCGAACTTCGTAGCAAAGCTAAATTTATTAATTCCATTTCAATGGGAGGAGCGCAATACGATGGAACAAGTGCACCTATGGCTAGCCAACAGGTTGATGAGGCCGGGGTACCAATGCATTTTTCCTGTACAAGTGCGAACACAGGCACCTACCTATGGTACGCACGTAACATATTTACCAACGTTGCATTGCATTGCTCAACGTTTTCCTTACTACTTTCAATGCTTTTGCAAATGTTGCTTCTAACATTTCATAGATATTCCAAAAGTATAAACTGGCCCAAATATAAGGGACCACTAAAATTTGTAAATCCTTTGTATAATTTAAACCCATTAGGCAATGACCAGGGCTTAAGTTGTTTATTTGGTAATATAGTTAAGAAACTGGGAGCGGAAAGTGATTTCAAAATCAGCCTATGCAAATAATGGTGAAACCAACTAGCAATGTCGATATTTGTTGATGTTTGTTTTCCTATCGTCTTCGTAACTACAAGTAAGATTTCAACAAACCAACGTGTGTAGCTGTATTCAACCTCTGTAAATGTGTACCTAATTTGAACTATTGCTAAGTAACGTTATAATTTGTTCAAAAAAGCAGCATAAGCACATCTAACAATAGTGCTATTTCTTCCCCATAGTCAGCGTTGAACACCCACTTACATGCCATTTGCACCACTAACAAGCATTTTCCAACACTGTGTAACGGTCACTAATTACTATAGAGCGAAATGGCTTTCAAGTACTTTACCAAGTACCACAGGATCTTCCTGAAACGGAAGCTGCACAAAACACCGCAGTAATTCACCTAAGATAATTCTTACTCAGATTAGAGTACATATGCATTTCTCAGAACAATTAATATGACATTTGATGTTCACGGTTGTGCAACCATCATTGTTTTCGATAAATCTTATCAGTCATCTAAAATTATGTAGCCGAATAAAAACGATTGGTTTGTGAAGTCTAAGTTTATAGTTAAAGAAACCACGAATATCACACAATCTATTACTTTGGCATGGCTTGATACTGAGCAGTGCATTAGTTGGTCGAAGTAGGCCACATGAAAAATTCACACACGCTACGGGAGAGCAATCAGCACAGAGGTGACACACGCTGGTCGCCAGTCAAGTTTGAAATGATTTCTCCTCACAAAAGTGCTTTTATGACCAAGGAGGGCTCACTATTTCTACCATAGTCCGACCTATTTAAGTGTATTATCGTACAACATATCATAACTTATTAACATAGCATACATTAGCATACAACATATTATTGCTTTTGCCTCAGACCTGAGTGACAAACGTTTCTTAAGACTTAGTGGATAGAGTCCTGGTCCGTTCCGAATAGTTCTTAATGTATTAAAGCATTTCCACTTGTTTTACAAGGTTTCTTAGATGTGTGATATGACACCTTTGTAAAAGGGTCACCGAATACTGCGTTGTTTCCCTAAGGAAAGTCACAGCATGAAACAGCAATAGTCCGGTACTTGAACTTTTATTGAATTGGGATACTAGACTCAAATAAATGAAACACTCATTGTCATATATACTATACGGAAGGAGGTTACAAAAAATGTAGCAACCGTTGTTAACGAACAATGCTGGTCCAATAGGTTTGTATATTCGTGGCTGTTTCTAAGTTGACGTAAGATTTGTTAGCCAACCGATTATCTACTTTTGCAATAACACCTTTATTATTGATTGAGGTGTATAGAAGAGAAGTTCCTTTGCGCAGTCGGGTTACATAGGTTACATAAGTTTGTCAGAACATATTACTCCGTTCTGCAAAGTAGCCCATTCCATACGCATGCACTGGGTCTAATTAAGCACATCACTTATATATCGTCAATCATTTTAATAAGTTCTTGCTTTACAAGCATTAAGAATCTGCTCCGTAAATTATGGTGCCCAGTAATATGCGGGTGGCGGAGAGCATGCTTTTAAATAAATAAATAAATAAATAAATAGTTTATTCTCGTCACTGCGAGGCACACCGTCAAGGGCGTGATCATGGTATTACAGACATGTATGATCGGCAACTGCACAAAGTGGTACGTTTTGACCAATAGCATAGGCATTTATGCGTGTGTTGTGATATAAAACGGTTTAACTGTGTATTTGTAAGAGGACATGTTGTGTGAATAGGTAAACGTGACTGTGTGTGCTTTTGTTCGTTGTGTTCGCCATCAAAGGGGGGAATAAATGGAACGATTTGAATCAGATGACGTCCGTGATGTGTGAATGATCCTCCGGAAAAGGGAAGAAGGAAGAGGCAGTGACTTTATTTAGTGGCGAGTCACATCCGCCACGTCACAGTGTGGTTAAACGGATACTTGTGGTTTTTTATAGGGAGAAAGCTTGCCAGGCGAAATCCCACCACATCCTGGAACACTGCCACCGAACCATTTGCTGGAACGGGATTTACTCGAACCACCCAGCTGGCACCACGAGGAGGTTTTTCGGCTAGCCAGCCAGTTGTTCGGCTAGCCAGCCATTGTTGTCACTTGACGGTTAGTGTGTACAAGTAGTTACCTAGGAAACATCGTGTTGGAGCATCCTACCATTGACGTGATAAAGCCTACAATAATTGTATAGATAAAATACCCTATTTACATATATGCTCATCAGTAACAAGAATCGCTAATTTACCAAGCAGATTTACTTCGCACCTGAAACAACCAGCGAATAATCAGGCGTTGAAATAATAATGACATCAGATCGCTTAATTGTGGCTCACGGTTTAGGAAAGCTTGATAAAACATAAGGCCTAGTGTAAATACCATAAAATGCACCCCACTCCGCTCATGTGCAGGATATGTGCCTACATTTGTGGGAAATAACTCCTCTTCATCATGCCTTTTTTAAAATTACATTTGTCACCCGCTTATTTATGTGCCATCCTGCGCAATATCATGCACTAGATGAAGCTAACTACGGAAGGTTAATAATGTATCGTCCACACTTGTTTCAGTGCATAATTGACTATCATGTAGCTTGCTGTCCAGTTGTTTTCATGCACCGCATAGATTAAGAAGCAGAGATGGTATGTGCTTCTTTGTGTATAGATCTCCTGGATATAGTGTGTCCTAAAATTTAAAACCACAAGCCTGTTAAGCATAACGCTAGGTAGACATGAGCTTTTTAATATGCTTGCTAAAACAGGGCCGTTTAATACTTGCAGGTAAAAGCTGGTGCAGTGCTTTCATATGTTCGGTAATTAATGTATCCTCCGAATGGTTTATACTTTCTTAACTGTAGAAATATATTAATAATTGAAATGGCAACCTGCCGTTTCAAACGCTGGCATACATTTCATTTGTCACGCTTTGACGCTAATGCCTTAATTAGTTTGCTAAATAATTCTCTTGGAGATATCTGACTGCGTTGTTAGTTCACACGCACAACCAAACGAAGGCAAACAAGTAGATCTAGTAAGCTTAACACTGTCGTCGGCTCTATAAGCTAAGACCACATGGGATGTTTAAGATACTCATACATATTTGTATGAAGAATTATTAGACACGTGTAACGCTTGCCAACTTGATATTCATCAGCTACCACTTGCACCTTTTTCATATAGTTCCATCTGAAGTAGATGCGGAAGCAATGGACTACAGTAAGTGAATCTAAAACCCATTTGACTACGTAAAATCTTTGGTACTTTTAAGCGCAGATATATGCACTTACGTTCAATCAATCGAAGTCAAAATAATTAGTTCTCTATGACTTCATAATTAACGTACCTACAGTTGAGTTACGGTTTAACTCATTGTAGCTTACCTTAAGTTCCTTATAGTTCACACAATTAATGCACGACTTGATAAGCATGTATACATAATTTCTTCTATTTCACCAGAATTCGTGTTGATTTTCTACACGTCAATACTTGGTATAACATCGCAAAGTGAGATATCTAAGGCGGAATATTGCGAAAAGGTACGTAATTAAAAAGCCGTACTAGCATTTATTAAAAATAAGTTAACTGTTAACCAGCCACATAAAATAGTTAAAAAGTGAAGTTATTTGTCTTCCCTGGTACTAACTAATAAGATGGCTCATCTCACCTTCCTTTTTGCTTCCCTGCAGCTCACCTCTCTAGCGATCGAACTGATAACGAACTGCAACATCACCATGATGGTTTCCGACTATGGAAGAGCTATTGTCACAGTACCAAAAGCGCAGGCATCCGTTTGGGAGGTACAGCAGCATCTTATGGTAGAACTGAATATGGAAAGCCAAAATAAGTGTCTCGTCAACGTGGCCATTGCTACGGAAGATAAGGATATTAAGTAGTAAGGCAAATTGGTATGGAAGTTGCATTGGTGCAGAATGCATGGTAGAGCGCAAGACAAAAAAAACCGTGCCCTTTTTAACTTCTTAATTCCATAATTAATGAATGCAACTTCGTTAACATTAACAGCAATAAACGTATTGCGTATTGCTTGTCGAATGTACTGCATACAAATCTTATACATGCGCATTTGTTTCCATTCGTAAATATACATCTGAAGCTAAATGCTTGTGTGTCTACTTAATAAGGTATTATTTCATACTTGGGGTGCAATTACGTTGACCCATTATTTGATGAGGAAAATGTTAGAGAGCCTTGTCATGTTATGATTAGCTTTTGCGCACGTTAATCGGGTGCTCGCCGCCATTAATTATGTCCTCATGCAAAAGTCTCGTTTCCAAAATTAACCGTTACCGTCAGCGAAAGTACTTCTAACCTCATCTAGAGTTAACTGCAGAGGCTTGCATGAGACAGCGAATGGTGGCGAGTTTGGGTTTGGGTATAAACATAGCAGCTGATATAGTAAATAACGATTGATGAAGTAGCTTTGGTTTCTTTAAAACCACCGGGTCCTTAACTTACTGCTACACCTGAAGATAGTAGTTAGTGTACTGCGCTGAGTACCTTTCGCCATGCAAACCGAGGATAATGTGTCCCACGGTATATATGGATGTACATATCTTTAATAAAATATATTTATAACCATGCTCGGACAAACCTGTAAAGAGGTTGTCAAGGTTCAGCTGCACGCTGAACCTGCATCTCTATCAACGTAAGGTAAACACGGTAGATCGCAAGTCATTTCAAAACCCAATGCATTTTAACATGAGTAAATGCAAGTTAGACTTCCTACGACAACCAAAACTGTCGCACATACCGCTATGGGGGGCACGTGTATCAACATTTTTTCAAGAAGGAACTAATTGCGTTGTTTCGTGATAATCTGGGTTGTTTAAGCAACCCGTACAGACCCTGAAACATGCTAAATGCTCATCAGTTTGTTGTGACAAACGTTTCGACTAACATACCTCTATAACCCGACAGCCACCCAGTGTACAGGTTCGCTGCTATGTCAAATGCGCAACTAAAGCTTTAAAGCCATTGGTAAAGCAATTCATACTGCAATAATGCAGCCTAGACATAATGCATTCAAAGGCGTCAGTGAAATTCACAATCTTTCATATAAGCAGAGACAGAGGCGATTCCGGTGTCTAGTAGAGGATACTGTAGTTTACGAGGCAACTAATAGTGACTTATGGTTTTAGCAGGATTCACGTGATTGTGCCAAATCCTCACCGCAGTTCAGCATTAACACAAACTAAAATATAACTCATTGAACATCACAATTAAGTATAGACATATACATGGCTGAAGGATTTGCTAATCCATGCCTATATGTTCCTCGTTGGATGCTCTCTTTCAATCCGACACTAACAGAATCACAAAGACAGTTGGTTGACTTACTTCGTACCCTGCACTTTACTATCTTGCTCTTTGTCTCCATCCTATGACTGTAACTCACAGTTAACATAAACGATGAACAACGAACTTATACAGGTTAAGAAGCGTTGCTTTATAAGTCCCGTTGGATTGTTGGTGGGGATATAAACATAACAATAAGGATGATAAGGATGGTAAAAATAGTTAATACATCAACTATGAAAATAAGGACTTATCGTTTGCTATACTGTAGTCCTGCGATCCTCGTGGATTCACAGCATCCACATTTAACAACAACTAATTCCATGGTAAACTCCGAGTGTAGGATGGAAACGTAGTGTTAAGTAACATAATGTAAGTGGATGAGTGCATCGTCCAACCGTCTTTTAAATACCGCCAGTATCGATGCAGAGACGACTGATTCTGCGAGAGCATTCCACGGGTGAGAGACACGTATGGAAGGGAAATTTCTGCGGCACCCCAAACGACTGTATTTTTCTGCGAGTCTTATTTAGTGGCTCCTTAGGTTTGTATTGCTGCTGAGTTGCAAAAAGTGACGGCTTACATGATGTGGGTCTCAGAACCAAGTATGCCATAATCAGGTCTTCTCGTAGTCTGCGGTAGCTTCTACTGAACAATCCCAGTCGTCGCAGCCTCACCTGGTAGGAAAGACTGCGCGCCCCAATCACGTTCTTAGATGCGCGGCGTTGTGGCTGCTGCAGTGCATTAAAGACGTGTTTCAGCCATGGAAGCCAGGCTTGAATTGCGTATTGGACATGACGGCGAATATACGCACTGAGTAGTTGTCAAAATATGGAGCTGTTTATTTATCCAAACGCCCTCCTCAAGAGCCCGACGTGTTGGTTCCTTATGTTCGAGGCCTTTTCTGATTGCATGGAGCCACTCAACGCATCTTGCACTAGAAAAAGCAAGTCACATTCGAGAGTTGATTGTTGTAGTACATTCGTTCCGATTCGATATGAATAGCTGCTCTGATGTCGGATGGAAAGCACCCTGCATTTACTAACGTAATAATGCAATATGTTTTGGGTCGACCATTAATACAATGAATCTAGGTCGCTCTGAAGCACATGTTGGCCGGGGTTCGCCTATATCCTGCCTCAGATCTCGCTATCGTCGGCAAACACGTAAAAGTTTGAAGCGATCACCTTCTGCAAGGTCAATTATAAACAACAAGAACAAACGTGGGCCTAGAACTGAGCCTGCGGCACACCACACTCAGCTTGTATGGGTCGATAAAGAGCTCCGAACTCTGACCACTAATTGCCATTCAAGTAGCAAGTTGGCAACCAGGCTTAAAAGTGGGTCGCCGGTTCCGTAAGGCTGCAGCTTGGATAGTAGTATCCGATGGTATGGACGATCGGAAGCTTTGGGAAAATTCAGGTAGACCATATCAACACTTTCTCCAGCGTCAGCTGCCTCGGTCTAACTACTGCTTGCAATTAGCTGATTCGTTGTACATGACCGTTGTCGACGGATACGGTGCTGCTCAGGCGTAATGATGTTGCGCTTCTCCATATACGGTTACTTGCGGGTGCGGTAAGACAACGCAGATTGCAGGAAACCAGCGAAATATCCGTTAAGTATTACCTTCTAAAGTACCAATCCATACAGCTTAACGTTCACTGAATTTAATTAAACATTTGGCACCAGGTTAACCAGAGTTTACGTTTCAGTTGCTAAGCCTAAACCTTGCGCATGCTATATCCTCTTTAGCCTACAATCCTTCTGTCCCCTCACATGAAATAGTTTAACCGGTGCTACAACTTCGCTACAAGCCCCATTAGCTTCTTCCTCTACCTCCTTTCAAAAGTTGTCCGAGGATTAGCATTAAATTTAACTAACGTCTCGAGGTTGCGTGCACCTCAGGGACTGGGAAGTAAAGCACTAACAGTGGCATTCGCACCTAATTGTAGTGCGCATGTTTCTGCATCTAGCAAGCGCTTTGGTAAAATCCTAAATATTTCGCTTCGGTCAGCTAAACGAACCAACAGATAAACATTATTTTGGATGATGCTTGACTTCCACGCACAAAATAACCGATTCAAAGCTAGAGTTATTTTGGGTCTTCTTACGTGTGGATGTGCAAACCGCAGAAGCTACAGTCCAGTGCTTAACAAAACGTCTAGTTGATCAACTTCTGCTGGGCACAGCGTGGTATACACGGACGTATTTAGAAAGTATCATTTAGTTGCACACCACAATGTGCACTAAACCGCCGGGCTCTTTTTAAATACCATACAAATGCTGAGCGAATTTCAGTCTGGTTCCGCAGGCCACTACATCTATTCTCTGAAGAAAAACACCAAACCATATTTGAAACTGTGTGCAGGAAAAATAAGGTGACCTCTGCAAAAAGCAATAAGAAGTGCCACCGTTTTCACATGAAAACCTAGATGGCTATGATGGTGTTTTGCTCTATAATTTAAAGGTCAAGGAATTGTATGCCATTTTGCGTTGTTGTTGCTCCTTATAAATCTGTTCCATTTACACTAAAGTTCAATGGTGAATAAATCATTGTTCTTAAACCAGTAGACGTGTAATAATTTTTGCCGGACATTTGTTAAGTGGTTAAAAATGAAAATGAACAATTTGACCATACTGAAAATTACTGGCAACGGTAAAGCAAAGGGAACAATATGCTTTTCGTCTGTTTTATTTATTTATTATAGTAAGTGAGCTAAAATTCTTTCAACCTGTTTCTTAGAATAATGGTGCGTTGTCATGCAGTTTGGCTTTTGTGGTTTAATGTAGTCAGTGTCTTATCGACACATCTATAAACATAGCTACTTTTTTCTGAATGTGCAACCACCTTGTGATCTTGGCTTACGCATTAATTAAACAGCAAAATTGCATCTAATCAGCAGACCAGCGGGTTGAAATTTGCGAGGTGGAACCGATTAGTGCGCTGGCTGTTAAACAGATGGTAGCATTGGGAATAAGATTTGCATATACTGACAAACCACTCTGCGTCTACGAAACAAGGTCGATAGTGTGCATGAAAGGAACCTAGGATACGTACTGACTGATATAATTTTTATTTGTGTGGCCAGTTGACGACATTGTTGCCCAGTCGTTATGAGGTCGGATCAAAAATCCGTTTTTAGTCCGAAACAAATAACATTAATTTATAACAGGTAATGCATGCGGTTGCTTAAAAATTCAATAGAAAACTTAGGTAAAAGTATAAGAATAATAGATATGAGCGTGGTATGTTTAGGCGTCAGCTGAGCAGGCGCACCACCGTATAATGCTCTATAATTGCGAAACTGAATGAAAACAGTGTCCAACGCTTCTACATTAAACCAGTTGGCTGCACTTTTGTTGGCAGCATCAGACAGACGTTGCTCTTGTAAGTTCTACAGTTTGCTGCAAGTACTATCCTCGCGTACATATTAGATGACACAAGGCAGTTAAATTCTAGAAATGACCACTAAGATCGTTGGCGAATAAGAGTTATAATGGATAAGTTTATTAAATTATTATGTGCGTGAATTAGAATTTATTGGAAAGCACGGCAAGATGAAGGAACCTGGTAAATGCTACATTTCGCGTTGTTACCTCAGTAGTATTGACAATAAGAGGTATGCAA